ATCTTATTTAACCTGTATAAATTCTAAAACATAAAAATGCTCTACAGAATTACACTTAATATAAAAATAGATAGGCTTTTCGAGACGGCCGTAATCCAGTTATCTAAGTTGAATCTATTCTCGACTTTATCGCTCAAAACTTAAGGGTTAATGAGGCAGATGGACTTACATGACTGTAATCCCTTCCCGAGTGCTATCGATCTGGGTCCAATGACCGAGCTCAGTTAAAACTATTATAGTTACATAGGAGATTTGATTATAGGTACTTTTTGGGATTCCGTAACTCAAGAGGATAAAGGAACACTTAAAACGAGAACCTTCCTTGAAAAGCATTTTTTTTCCTGTACCGATTGTTGACGGAAAGTGGATCGTACGTGTATGGGGGTACCTTTCGCTAACAATTTAGAATAAAAGGTCTGCAATTTATAATTTGCTCTTATCATTTTTCCTGTAGGCTGTATTGTTCATGTATTATTAGCTCATTTTTGTCTGTTGGCTGTTGGTCACAGCTTTCTTTTTATACCCTAAAGCTTTTGGATTAACTGATTAGTTTTAGTTTTGTGTGCAAGTTCTATTCTCATGAAAAATATTGTTATTGACCTCAAAAACTTTGCAGCTGATGGATACCTTGCTTTAATTCATTCAACTATATAGATACATGTCTAACATCTATACAATACATACAAATACATTCAAAAACTCGTTACTACATAATAATACTAGTAATACGAATAATCTCCAAGTTTACAACGGCACACAAAAGCCAGATATAAAGCGGTGGACAGACTGTGTGTTATCGCGCAGTATAAGTACCACTATCGAGCGAGGACCACGGATGTTGGTACAATTGCTAGTCTGCTACATTTCCCTTTTAGGTGTAGAGGTATAACTTAGTTGTAAAAACATAATATTAGTATCACACCTATTTATGCATGGTTGGCGTGGTTGCTGGACAACTGGCTGCCGCGCAACGTGTCGCGGGTTCGATTCCCGCACGGAACAACTTTTTGTGGGATCCACAGATTTTAGTTCCGGGTCTGGGTGTCATGTGTATGTGAACTTGTATGTTTGTAAATGCACCCACGACACAGGAGAAAATCCTAGTGTGGGGCAACGTTTGTAAAAAAAAATAGTCTCACAGGAAAAGTCAGTTTTTGTTAACTTTTCGCAAGTATTGTTAACGACACGGTTATGATTTTATGCAGCCACGTTCGCATCAAATTGACTGCCTTATGTATAGGTACTTTTCTGTAATACAATAATTGTAAATATATCAACTTTTAACACTGTATTCTTTTATCGAACAAAAAAAAAGGTTGCGACGACTTCAGGACATTTTGGGAAATTTGGTTAATGATAAACCATGATTCACAGAACACACCACAAACTAATAAGATCTATAAAAACTCGAAAGTTACTTAAAAACACATTTGAATAATCATACCATATCCAACACCCCAGCATCTATGTAAATCAGTGCTCAGATGCACTCAGCGAAGCGAAGCCAGATTCAAACCAGACACTTTTGTGTGAATGTTAAACTTTACACAAATATCTACATGCAAACAGACCATTTTAGACCAAAAACCCTTTCTAAAAACCCCGCCAGACAAAAATAAAAATCCTTCTAAAATATTTTGTTCAAGATTAACAATATAGATGCTGTCTGTCGGTCTGTGTTGTCTAAACAGACGCATACGAATGTATTTCTAACTGGATTGCTATAAATCAAGTTTAGTCTAGTCTAGACTTGAGCACTAAAAGTTCCTTGCTTTACTTGTTACAGGTTTACCTCTATAGACGTACTTTAGCTCATACATACCTCGTACCCCTTGGCGTTCGAGTCTGATTGGGTTTAAGAAGTAGTCTGTTATAGCTCTTATAGAAATCCTTGGAAGCCTCGATATAGTATATGTCGCAGAAAATGCACCCATTGGGGGTACTTCGTCATCGGATTCTTCGTAAACGCGGTAAGTTCAGTACGGGCTGGCAGAACGACCGCTCACCATCGTGTCCAACTCAAAAGTGACGCCTTTCAAATGCCAACATGCTACGCCCCGTACCAACCATCACCCAAGCACACTGCTTGACGTTTCCGACATATAGATATACAGGGGGACAGGGTAAAATCCGCTGACAAAATATCCTTACTTTTACAAAAATAAAAAGTTTTTAATAACACCTGTCGACATTTTTCAAGAGCATTGCGCTTACACCCTGTATCAGTCAGTACGAATATTCTTATCAGTACACTGGAACATTATTCGGCATTGTCATTTTTATGTCAGAACTAATATTTAAAATTCAACTTGATATTGCGTATTAGTTTCTTCAGATCTGGCACTCAGATACCTCATTTTAATGTTGATACTGACTCACTTAGCCTGGCATCATGTACACCAGTGATATATATAGCTCTTGGTGGTTTTGTTAAACGTGTCAATATTCAAAGTCTGAAAATTACAAATATTAAATTAAGTAAAAACGCGGGTTACTCTCGTGAATATACTGAGAAAAGCTCTACTGTGCTGTACTCTAGTGAGCTGCGCGACGTCGCCGCGACCGCGCACGCTGCTCATGAGGAAGAACCCCTCTGTGGTTCGAAACTAGTAGAGCTTTTCTCAGTATATTCACGTGAGTAACCCACGATTTTACTTAATTTAGTGTGTCTCACGATAGTTATAATAAAAACATTACAAATATTCTTGAAATCAAGTTCCGTAAACCACACCTTACAAAAAACACATTCAATTTACTTTCTCAAAAACATATTCCAACTCTACAAACTTAGTACTTTTAAGCTCAGATGCTGTTGCAAACGACCTAGTTAGGAACAGAGGTAGGCACGTGTCGATTCCATTATGCCTGATTCTGCATACGCCAGCTGAGAATTAGAACCAGTATCGATAATCGATGTTAGGGGTCCTTCATAGTGGGGTCGATTTGCATTCTTAAGTTTAAGAGAATACTGGCTATTTGATGGAGTTTGGTCCCTATTGTACCTAAAAGATGTTACACTCGCATACGAATGATTACTAAGGGGAAGCCCTTTGTCCAGCAGTGGACGTCTTTAGCCTTATGATGATGATGATGATGCAACCGATTGTAAACTCTAACAATAAAGCCACAACATATCTAACTGAATCACTGAAATAACAAAATCATCATCAACATCAACAGCCTATAAGTGTCCATACCTGAGCAAATCCTTTTTTCACACTGAAAAGGTTCGAGCATTAATTAACACGCTTGCTCTTTGCGGGTTGGCGATTTCAAACTTATAATTAGAAAGTATATGTCCAGGTTTCCTCACGATGTTTTCCTTCACCGTTTGTCAGTAGTGTCTAAATAATTTTAGAAAGCACATAGACACAACTAGGAAAAAGTCACATTGGTACTTGCCGTTGGTAAGTTTTTAGCCCGCGCCATCGTGCATGGGAAGCGGGCGTCTTAATTAACCTCTGGGCCACAAGACAATTCATAATAACAAATTCACTTGATAATAAATAACTACTGAACATCTATCTTAGTGGCGTTCCCGTGGGCGTGATATTGAGAACTACGCTACGTCCAGCAGTAGACACAAATGAAATGATGTTGATGATGATGATACAATAGAAATGAAAAATATATATTTAGCATAACATCCTCCGAAGGGATAGGCAGAGCTCCACATTAGGGCACTTCACGGCAGCTACTGTACAAATCTAACACCCAATTTTTCACTATTTATATTATGAGTCCCATGTAATAGGGGGTGAGCGTATTGCCAGATACCGGGTACGTTTCCAGAGTCCGTGCTACTATCGAACCCTTATTATATATATATATATTAAGAACCGAAATCGAACCCGAGACCCCTTGTTCGGCAGTCGCATTTGCTACCACTGGGCCAACGAGGCATGATAATGATAATTACAAAACACCAATAAATAACAATATCACTTAATGTAAATACTTATGAACAATCGTGTGATGATCAGAGATGCGAATTTCCACAACGCCGCCTTACGACTGCTTTGCATGCATACTCACAGATGCGAAGTTACCGGCTACCGGCAAATTGGTAGCGTGCACGGAAATAATCAACCGGTCTCAAGCCGAGCATGAACCTTAAGTGATGCTTTGGAGTTCCGTGTACAAAGATGAAAAGAGGAACTCTGTTATGACACTTATGAAACAATCAAAATCTGAGAAGATGATAAGAAAAAATATAGTAAAAGTAGGCTAATAAACTTCTTGATGAATGATACCAATATTGAGTCGGTTCTCAATTAATCTAACTTATGTTGCCCCATTGACCGAGTGGTCGCAAGTGGCTCGACAGCTGGGTAAGATCTCAGGTCCGATTCCTGGGTCGAGCAAAGTACTACTGGGTTTTTCATTAGTAGCACGGAGTCTAGAAATGTGCCCGGTATATGGCAATAGGCTCACGCTCTACCTCTATAAGGTGGGACTCATAACATAAATAGTGAAAAGTGGGTGTTAAATTGTGCAGTAGCATTAAGTTCTATAATGTGCTAACTTATGCTAAAACCTGTGATTGTGTTAGGTGTTCCAGACAAAGTATTTACGATACAGTACTATATAAATGAATAGAAATAATAAGTATACGGTTCATATCATTTTCTCAACGGCTTAGTATCATTTCAATAAACAAAAGGAAAATCGTCCTTCAACTTTCTATTGTTAACTAGTAGAGTTCAAATTCAAATAACCTTACCTAAATCTAAACAATATCTAAAGTTAACGACCTCTTTATCCTCACCAATAAAACAGAGCAGACGGAAATTAGTCCATCACTATAACAAGTTCAAGTTAAGCATGACTCGTGTCAATATTTGTGTAAGAGGCAAACACAGACTGATTTCTTAGTTTGTCATTGCCATATTCGGAAGACCCACCCTTTGAAGATAAAATGACGCGACGCCACACTTCGTGTACCGTGTCATTTTTACCATTTTGTAGTGGATAGCAAAAGACGGTGATCATGTGATTGTTAAGATCTTAAACATGTTTAGTTACTGTGTATTCAATGTTTTGTTGTTATGTGCCGTTTCTATTTTTGCTTCGAAAATTGTTGAAGGGTGAGTCTTTTTTTTTAAACTGTCAAACACCGCGAGGGCACCGGGGCCGCAACTTGTTCTTCTTTAATTGTGTCTATAATGGTACTCAAAGGGTTAATCTACATCATTATCGTCGTCGTTATTTCAGTCATAAGACGTCTATAGTGGAACATTGGACTACCCCAATGACTACCAAGTAATTTTTTTTTTATATTATTATATTTGATAGGACGTTTGACCACTATCTCGCCGATGGTAAGCGGTGATGCGGTCTACGATAGAGCACGTCGTCCCATAAGCAATATTGGCAAGTTATTTTATTGCTCACTACTCTCGCAGGGTTCACCCTGTCTTATTGTTCGTAGCGTAATGTTTTTTAGCCTATAACCTTCCTGGATAAATACACTTAATTACATGTCCAATTCCGGAGATCAGGGCGTTCAATTAAACAAAGTCTTCAGCTTTATATATTAACTAGCCACTCGCCTCGGCTTTGCACATGTGCAATATGCATCTATTATACATATAAACCTTACTTTAGAATCACTGTATCTATTAAAAAAAACCGCATCAAAATCCGTTGCGTAGTTTTAAAGATCTAAGCATACATAGGGACAGACACACAGCGGATAGCGACTTTGTTTTATACCACGTAGTGAAGTAAAATATAGATTTTGAGTATAATACTAAAGCGCTCTATAGTTTTTGTTTACCTTATAGAATACTAGCGACCCGCCCCGGCTTCGCACGGATGCAATATGTATATACATACAAACCTTCCTTAAGAATCACTCTATCTATTAAAAAAAACCGCATCAAAATCCGTTGCGTAGTTTTAAAGATCTAAGCATACATACGGACATACAGCGAAAGCGACTTTGTTTTATACTTTGTATTGATAAGCGAGCCAATTGTTTAAGCACTACTCTAGCATTTGCTTTTACACCGATTTTTAAACCGAGAATCCCAAAAAGCCTAAAATGCCCTTAATATAATGTTTAAGAACAAAAAATCTATTTAAAGAGTATTATGAGTAATTTAATTAGTTACACCCACCGACCCAATCCTTTGTTGGAACAGGGTGCTAATGAAACTCGTTAACGTTCTTTGAAAATTAACCTTTTTACAGAACAGTAATGAACTTGTTTCTTATTTGCATACTTCAATGCTTTCTAAGTAATTACAAAGTTAGCAACTGACTTTTATATTTGTCGTATAAACAATAAATAATGAATGATGATTTCCTTAAATGCAATGGTATTAAATTTGTATTTTGTCTCTTTATAAACTGGAAAGATATTAAAAAAAAAACTGAATGTCTGTACTAAGACACTTTTTGTTTCATAAAAAATTTCTGCCTGTAAATGGGGGCGAGCGAATGACTGCATACTGACCATTACATTTCATAAATAAATAGCTCACGTTTAAGCACTGAAATCGTTTATATTCCACAGATCTCAGCCGATCTTACAGAAGACAATAGAAGCCCTATTCACTGACCGATCAAACGAGATGTATCCTGGGCCCTGCAAACTGATCAGAGCATCGAAACGGCAAAATAAAATTTGTGAAAGAGATACAGGATTGGCAAATGTTTTGACTAATGCGAAGGAACAAGCGATTGCGGCCTGCGAAGAGACCTTCCAATATGACAGGTGGAATTGCTCCCTCGTGTTCAATAGAAAGGCAAAACGGAGTATATTCAATAAATTATTCAGAGAAACGGCGTTCGTCCATGCTCTGATGGCAGCTTCCATCACGCATTCAGTAGCAAAGGCATGTGCCTCTGGGGATCTATCCTCATGCTCCTGTCCCGGAAATTTTGGCAAAAACAATACATGGAAAATGGCAGGCTGTGGAGACGACTTCAGACATGGAAAGAGATTAACAAAAAACTTCTTGGACTTCAAACATGCAGGTAACGATCAAATTGCGGAAATATTAAAGCAGGATATTATTGTAGGAGTCGATTCCATAGGAGAACAGCTAAAAGAAGTTTGCAAATGCCATGGATTCTCAGGGTCTTGTACCACGAAGACATGTTGGAAGCGATTGGGACCTTTTAACTCAGCCATGGGCCTTTTGAAGAAGCACTACCACCATGCAGTAAAAAAGAAAATTATGAACTATACGACGAAAAGAGCGATAACTCCTAAAGTGAGGAACAGGATGAAAGTGGAAAGGAAAAACTTATTGTATTTACAGAAGACGCCTAATTTGTGTGTCAGTACTGAAGGCAGGGTGTGTAAGGACCGACATAATTGTGCGACTTTATGCTGTGGTAGGGGCGTAATAACGAACAAGAAAACTGTCAGTTCAAGGTGTAGATGTAGGATGGTCAACTGCTGTTTTGTGCAATGTGATACTTGTGTTGAAGAGGTCGATCAGTATACGTGTAAGTGAGTTTTTGTGCCATATTGTTAAGTTTGTAGGTGGGGTGGAATGGTTTGCTCCGACAACAGCAACATAATCTTATTAATGGATGTGAAATTTAATGGTCTATTTCTGTTGGAAAATGTAACACCATGTCTTTTGTGATCTAAGGATAAGTTAGGCAGAATCTTAAAAATAGTTATTACCTACTAACTTCTGAGACAAATACAGAGACAACTTGCTATAATTAGTCCTTGCGGTCTGGACAAACATTCATGACAATCTCAACGAAAAATACTTAAGGACATTTATGGAAACTAGTTTTAAGGTGTAGTCTCAAAATTACCAAATTTTAAATGAAATTGTGAACTATTTTTACTTATTTAAATATGAAATTGCTCATGTATTTGTTTTAAGATAAGATTGTATGTGATATGCGGCCGAGACGAGGTGTGTCTGTGTATATGGTCGGTCAAGCTGTGATATTAAAGGTGGACTTTAGTAAGATAGATGAGATATAGGTAGTAAATGCAGGCATTGTGGGAAGATTAAAACTTTTTTATAATAAATAGTTGTTTTTGGTTTTATTTTTGTTGTCTCCTGTACTTAACAAGTAAATAATATTTTTTCGCCTTCGACAGAATTTACTTACTGAAATAATGGCTTAAACTCATACGATAACGTTACGCCATCTAGTGATTTCTATAATTACTATTAGGGAAACCGCCCTCTGCAATGCAACTAAAAGCTCAACGCTAGCTTGACGCTGTCTCGTAAGTTATTTCTATTTCCACTAGGTGGCAGTAGTGGTAAGTCATTAAAGTGATTTTGATCACATAGATGGCGCTACTGTGTAGTAACTGAAATTAAGCTCAAGCTATGTCTTCTATTTGTAGTCGTTTAATTATTTGAAATTAATTATACGTTGTCATTTAAACTGTAATTAAAAAAATAAACATCATTAAATATTTCATCAAAAGAAAAAACTAAGTGAAGCAATATTTGACACATAAGTACGGTCAGCAAAAGAGCTAGTTTTATTTTAAAATTCCTCAGATTCAGACATGTTTGAGTTGATGCGTTATTCATAATTTCGCCGCTATGGAATCCAGATGCTTCGATAACATCAGCTTAATGCATGTCGATCGCGAAATATTATATGCGTGGAAATCTTTGTACGGTCAGTAAGATAAATCGGTTTCGGGATAAAATTATATGATGAAGATAAAGTCTAAGTACTCAATTAAAATCCTGATAAAAACCATTTTCGTAAGGCTTACGATTTACGCTGATTATAATATACTTAATTACACCCTATACAATATATTTTATCACTGATTCAAACAGAAATGTGATTCAGTTAATGATATTCAAAAAATTTAGAATTATCCGTAACCATTTCTTGACCTCATCTTTGTAACCTCTTTTAGGATCCGATAGCTTTTGTTCAGGGTTTGTCCACTATTAGTTGACATTACTATTTCAAACTAGAAAATCTTTGAAAACTGAAATCTGAATACCTTGAAATAATTGTTGACAGAAATTAAAATAAAAGGATGAAGAAGAAAGCATTTGGGACAAACCCCTAACTTCTATATTTAATGTAAGATCTCAAAAATTATGTCGAAACACTGTCCAAGCCAAATAAATCGAAATCATACAAACCCACCTCATTAGTGATGTGCATAACGAATATAAAATAAATTATCGATATCGAAGCCACTCACTATCGACTCATCGAGACGTGAATGATGTTACACGACACATTCGGCTCGCAACTGAGGGAGCGCGAACAAAATAAATTTCACCTTTATATCGACTACAACACAATATTTGAAATGTCACGTCTTTATACAGACAGAGGGTGTTGGAAATATGAGTGATTGTATAACAATAATATTAATATGTCTAACTATTTCATTTGTGATGGTGATAGATATTTGTGAAGCTAGAAAGATTTCGAGCTATTTTATTGCACTTTAGAATTCTTCACCTCGGCTTGCAATGACAATTATTCACAAAAAATTGACGAGTTCATAATCTGAATTACACACAAATGGAAAGTATTTCATCACTCAACATCGACATGACATCACCCACACCCCATCCCTAAAACATAGCGAACTCTTAAAAAATGAAGCGAAATTTAAATAAAACGGTTCACAATCAAATGAATGACTAACACGGATGCATATTAAGTCTAAAGATCGCTCACCATTATTATTATAACGCCTATAATTGACCCTTAAACCATTAAGGCTGGCCACAAAATTGCGGTTTGTTTTCGATGCCAACTCACATAATTACGATATTAATGAAAAATAAGCTAAAAAACGGCAGCTTTGAGATTTATTTATTTATTGACCCGAAGCGAAGTTTGCCCTTACGCATGTTCAAACTCGACCGTGAGTCACAAGTGTGTGTTATTCGAAGAATTTGTCTCACGATTATTTGGAAATCTTTTTTGTAGTAGTTTTATTTTTAAAGTGTTGTTTCATAAAAACTGATTTACTTCACACATTCACTATTCAAAAAATAAACTTTGCAATTAGTGTTTTAACAATTTCGAGACGATGTCACTTATCTATTAAAGGACATTCTATAAAATACAATAAATATAAATAAAAATTCAGTGTATATTACAGAAGATTGATGCAGTTCATAATTCATACAATCATGCAATTTTAATGCTCAATTGGGTAGTTTCCTTAATCAAAAATAAATTGTTTCGACTGTTCAATACAATAAAATATTATAAAATAATCACATTTTGGTTAAATGCTTTCATGACCAACTTAATTTTAGTATTTTTCCAGCAAAATTTTAAGAAATAAGTGTGCTGTTGTCCCCTAAAAAAACGTGATGTCACAATACACAATCTCGTACAAAATTCATAGAAAACTGTCGTTTTTGACAGTTCGAAAAAAGTATTGAATTTGATTAGTTGGCAAGTACCCAATTATAGGACATTTCTGCAAGTACCTAGGCACGAATTGCTGTCGCGGAGAACCTAACGGGTAACCGGGGCTCCGGCTCGACGTGCAGGAGAAGGAACGGGGTGGTTTTTAGTCAGTAAGAGTCTGACACTTCCTCCCGCCTCACCTAGGCGGGAGCAGTCACTCGATGATTTTCCCCCCTTAAAAAAAAAGGCACGAATTGCTATCGACAAACGAAACAGAAATAATTATCGAGAATTTTAAATACAAACGTTCGAGTTTCCATAGTAAGTTACATCGTTACCTAGCCGAGACAATACCAATAAAAATTATGTTATCCCGACCAATTACAAACCATTAACCAAAACTTTTTACAGCTCAATGTAATACCCGACAGACGTTTTAATATGAGCTCCATTTTATTTATTATTAAACGAATGAATTATTATTGTTATTATAAAAAAGTTTATTATCAAATATGGGAACGTTGTCGTATATTATAGAAATTGTTATGAAAATTGATTGTGCGATGCTTTTTAATGAGATAGACGGATTCTTGAGATTGTTGGTTGATATTTTTGTTTATGCAGATCAGTTTTCCGTGAGATACGAATAGATTATAATAGTTCTATCACCGCCCTTAACCTAGCTGCAGGCGTCCTAAGACTTCACTAAGGAAATACACTAAAGGGGGGATAGAGCCAAGGCAGCGGCCATCTCTTAATAACCTAAAGTTTTTAAACTGCATCTCCAATTCGCCTCCTTAGCTTTCTAGTTATCTACAAGCTATATTTATTTATTATATAGTTTCAGGCATTTAAAGTACTCTAATAAATAGGTGTACAATATACCAAACTCATGCATACAATCGAAGCTTTAGAGGTAATTATATCTAAACACCAAATTGGTTAAATAACACCTCAAGATAGCGATGACGAAAATTTTTTTGATGTCTTAAGATAACATTTTTTTTAAAGGTGTAAATATTTTAGTTTTCCGTTATTTGTATTTATAATATTAATATTACTTAGTTAAGGCGTTTACTTAATATTTCTACACCAAATTATAATCATGCAACAGCCTGTATCTAAAACCTGAAGGGAAATCAAATGTCACCTCAAATTATTAATGTTTGCTTTAACCGATGAGACTGTCGATATATGAAGACGTAAAATACTTTAGTTTGTTGTTTTGTCAATCCGTTTGATATATGGGTTCTGTTAATTAATTATTATAATTATGCTATATTATGCATATCGTGTTTAACGCGTCAATTCACATGGTAGGTTTGGTTTATGGGTGCAATGTGTTGCTTGGAGTTATCTGTGTTTGATAATAGAATAGTTTATTATAGTAATGGAGCTCATCAAAAAATAGTCGTGTTAAGAGTAATGACTAGTTTGCACTAGGTACTCTAAATACTCGCTACTAGACTGAAATACTAATGTAGGTACTTTAAATAAGGCGTAAGGGCAAAGTGAATGCTACATATATGCGCTTTGTGTGATTGTGTGAGGTGGGATATTGGTATAAACAGGGCACACTTCTAGACCATGTGAATGAGGTTACAGAAAGCTTATTCCTCGCCCCCTCCTTCCCCTTCCCTCCCCAGAGGTTGCAAATGTCCTTGTGCGGCGCTAATTGCTTACCACCAGGTGGTCCGAACCGTCTGCTTATTGTTTCTTCCTGTGCCATAGAATCTTTGATTTAGAGTAGTCTAGAGCAACATTTGCAAACACTCGACCGATAGGGTATAGATTGAATACTACAAAATGATATCAAAACAAACTCATCTAAAGTAACCAATAGGTAATTCTTTATAATGTCAGTTCGTTCCTATTGGACGCAAAGCTTATAAATTACTGTCAACTACATACAAAGTAAGGAGATTAAATAATATGCTATCGCAGATAAAATCTCCGCGAGCGATAGAAATCGTCGCTCTTTTACATATTAGAATGTAAATTGTAAGGAAACATAAATTGAAAATAGTAATTAGTAATTATTATTCTATTGAGGTTATAGAAGACTATACTAAGATATAAGTGTGATATAAACATAACATTAATCTGTTATTCCATAAAGAGATAGCAAAAATTTAGCTCCTTGTTGTTATTTAGGTAAAGTTTTCTTCAGGACTCAAGACAGCTGATTGTAAACCGACATATGCGCACTGCCTTCAGAACGGGTCCGCTTAAACTGTTGTAGTTAGAGAACTAGTGAGGAGAGCCTCAAAAGAACTTAATGAACTTAACGGTACTCGCACATATTCTTTTATACACATTTGTCTGGACTTTAAAAGAGACGAACCTTGGTGTATAGTAGTCAGTTAGGAAATGTCAGCCTTATAGTTCGCTTGATAAAATTGACATGTAAAAAAACGGCTTTGTATCCTATCTGTAGAAAAACACACCTAAAAATGTTATAAACTGGACACAACCTATGCCATGAAAGTTATTTGTTATAATAAAAAAAGCCCTATCCACACCACCCAACCATCAAACTAAACCACCCACTGCAAGTGGCAACAAAAATGTCCCCAAAGGCTTAATTATTACAAATAATACACGCAT